ACGTTATAAACTTCAGACAAAAGTTCCGTTATAAAAATTGCGGAGCAGAAACGGAAAGAGATGCGAAAAAGCGTGCGGAACTTCCGCAGTTGCGGAGGCAGAAGCAGAGGTCTATTGCATCACTAGTCATTATAACTCCGGAGGACATGATTATTCTCAAAATCATTATAGATAACTACGTTACACTGCTGGGCATGGGTCTCCTCTGATAGTGTTCAGGCAGTAGTCTGTCACGCTGGCCTCGTGCGGGGTCTTCGCTTCGCATGTTTTCCAAGAGTTGTCAACTAAGAACGAAGACCACATACAGGTTTCATCACGACCTTTTCCTTATCGACGTTACGAGACATTTTGCTACTCAACATTCACAAATGTACGTCCCTAACTGTGTAAGAAACTAAAGCCTTCTAGTCATAAGTTTACAAGTCGACACTATAAAAAAATCAAAACCAAATACATACTTAAAGTATTTTTACTTACAATTAGAAACCTTCTCTTTAAATAATTCCTAGTTTGATCAAACTTACCACACTACTATCGCACTGCGAATTGGTAATACTGTAGGGACCTAAGAATACTCACCACACTTAATACCAGTGGTTTGCTTAGTGGTACAATCGGTCCCGCGGGAAAAATACAATGCAATAAATGTAGAATTTCAGATAGAGGCATTATGTTTCCTCGAACTTTAGGTAAATATAATCTGCCAATTCCCATCTCTGACTACGACTTATGAGTACGTCATTATGTAGTTGTGTTAGATGATAAAGTCGTATATATTTATTTCTATAAAGCATCTAATCCCACAGTCGTAATTGAGATTTCTATTTAAGAATTTAAAGCACATATTGCGCAAATAGCTTGATCGTTTTATGGCCATTTCCATTCTCGCCGCAAACGTAGATTTGCGGCCTATTTACACTTAGTCACAGAAAACAGAAGAACTAAATAGATTTAGTTATTAATACAAATATCGAACACAAATAAAAATTCCTTGGATCTGACAGGACTCGAACTAAAGTCTGTGCCATACCAGGGCGACCGCTCAATGGTAGCAATCAACCAAGTCGACAGACCTTACAAATTGGTCTATGCGTTTGTTACAGGTCATTCTTTTTTTCCTATGAAAATATTAAGTTTTTTAATAAGTACTACTAATACACCTCAGCGACCGAATTGTTTTCACTGTGGCCGCTTGATGGGGAGTTTCCGGTTTAGATTCTCGGAAGACTCAATTTGAAAACGGACTCTTCAAAATTGGTTCTGGTCTCGGCAATACCCATGGTGTTACGGGGATTCCGTTGCTCCGTTGCTTGAATATCCTTTTTTGATAGTTTCGAAAAAAGTCCTCCTGACACAGTTTAAGAATAGTCTGCACTCTACAGTTATGTAGCGAATCGTAGCAATCGCTACAAATCTCTTTGGTATATACCGGGTGGAAATTTGTAATGCCACCTGTAGGAAAAGTACCTACTCTAAATACTGGAGATAGAAATTTTTACTAAAAGAAAACATTCCTTTATTTTTTTAAAGAAATAAAACTGCATTCATAGATTTTCGATAATTTCTAGCAACACGCGGGAATCGAACCCGCTTTAATCTGAAAAAAATGCACCCTGCACTTTTTTTGCATCGATCGATAGGGTTAATTATAAGAATAAAATCTCTCTAACAAAATTGGTTAATTTTATAAAAAAATGGTAATCTAACTAATTAGTTGTTCGAAATGAGCTCCATTTTCTTGGATACACAAATTTAATCTTTTAACGAATTAATTTTGAGTAACTTTTAATAACGTATTGTGATGAATTGTATTACAAATCGTATTCTGAACCTCAGCCTTCAACTCGTTTACACTCGCATAGGATTTAAGGTAAATTTGATATTTAACATATCCCCACAAAAAAGAATCTAAAGTGGTGAGATCTGGTGATCTCGCAGGCCATCTGATTATGCCATTTGTACCAATCCAGGTATTAAAATGGTTACTAATGTAGGCAGTAGTGACTCTGCTGTTATGGGCTGGAGCGCCATCTTGCTGCAGAATTATTCGATTTCGCTCTTCCTCGGATAAAACATTTAACTCATTTCGGAAGAGATCCAGTATTTCAAGATGCTTGACAGTGTTCAAATGACCTTCGTACAGGTGGAAATTTAGAAATTTATTTATTTATAGAAAAACTATCAGTACTTAGAAAGGATATGTAAAAATAATCAAATGGAAATGACAAAAGACAATCCATTTTCAAATGAAACATTCCATATTTAAATTACCTCATGCCACTGACCAAAAGAGTCTGCATTAGAAACATGTACAAATTGCAATCTTCATATCTAAATAGTACTTCGTCATTTTAAATGACTTTAGCGATAATTAACAAGTAATCTGATGGACCTTTGAGTAAAAGTGCTTTAACTTGACCCATTGAATTTATAACTCCAGATTTCATGGTTTGGAAGAGATATTTCATCCTCATAACTGACCCTATCGATTGATTTAATAAAAGTAGACGGTGCATTTTTTTAAAGATTTTAGCCGGATCAATTCCCGCGTTTGGCTAGCAATTTTCGAAAATCTTTGAATACCGTATTATTTCTTTTTAGAAATAAAGGAATGTTTCCTTTAAGTAAAAATTTCTGTCTCCAGTATTTAACGTACTTTCCTTCCAAGTGGCATTACAAATTTCCACCCTGTATATTTTATATTCTTTCAGTTTATTTTATATTTAAATTCTAAATTGAAATGTGAATGTTCATTGTTTGCTGTTTTGCTTTCATAGCTGGACGTGTTTTCTAATAAATTAATAAGCTGTAAGTGTATTTACTTTGGCCTTGCTCACTCGTTGTTAGCACCCACCATTTAACCCATTGATACAATCCGCTGCAATAATACAACTAAGAAACAAACTTGTAGAACTCCTTGTGAGAGAGTTCTTTGTGAGAGAGTTACTGCGTCCTGGTTTTGAAGGGTACTTTGAAGGGTAAGTACCCTTCAAAACCAGGACACAGCTTGTAGTTTCATCAGCCCCTTGGTTGGTGAAACTGGGACGGCACGTGGGACTTATATGTTTCAAGGTGCCAGGACGTAAAGACAGTGCCCCTCAGATCTTTGCTATTTGAAGCTACGAGTGTCACTACAGCTATTATGGGTAGACGTGTCGTTGATCACCAGGCGCTCGACTTGTTCGCACCTTCGGTTGATACCATAAAAAAACATGTTCCACTATTAGAAAATATCATAAATGCCAGTCGTTAATGTTAGCGGTTACATCCAGATGATATATGACCCGTTGTAAGAAACAAGACGTTCCATATGTAATTACTCGATGGTCTACCTAGGACATTCAAGTGCGAACAGCACCCTCGAAGCGCGGTACCCATCTGCTCCATCCATAAATCAAGCCTATCGTTAAATCTTCAGCGAACCGTTGGCTACCTGCTGTAAAATATATTTTTGAAACCTTGCTGAGTTCTAGCTCAGATCTGAGATAAGTTTGCTAATTGACAGATGTGAGCACGGAGAGAAATCAATATTTTTGCCCGACTATGTCGAAGATAGTCAGAATCTGAACTCCATTAACGATTACGAATTGTTGAATTCGTTTCAAAGGACCGTGTATCACATATTCGTTATCATATAAACTTGATATATTTTTTTTTATCTAACCTCACTTTGCTGGCTCAGCGACTCAAAATGTGACCCGGCTTCTAAAACGACATGATGCCACTTTCTTCGTTCCTGTGCAATCTCTTGCCAATTAATGTCTTGTAATTCGCGCAGGTCCGCCTCCGCGGCATCGCTCCAGCGACACTTGGGACGACCAACCGATCTTCGTCCAGTAGGTCGACTCAAAGAGGCTGTCTTCACGTTCCGAACCTCTCCGATCCAACGAAATCTGTGCGCTTTGTTTTCGCCGATAATGTTTGGCTGGGCGACAAGCTCTTGTATTTCAACATTAGGGCTACCAGCTACAGCTAATGATGTTGTCTGATGATTCAGACAACATCGCATACGTTGTTCTGATCCCAAAGTAAGTAGCTAAAGCACTCGTGTTATGGAATTCGGAAACAACGACGGTACTACAAACACCCAGACCCGAGATAATATAGAAAAGTTAGTTTCTACACAGACCGGTCGGGCCGGGGATCGCACCCGGGATCTCAGAGATGGTTTCAGAGTTAATTAGTTTGTATTGCGTTTGCATCGCTGTTAAAAATCGCGCTGTTTAACAGCTCTAAGTGTTTGATATTTCTATTAAGAAATTATAACAAACTAGTGGAGCAATTGCTCAAAAAAAAAATTGAATATCATGGTGGCCAAACACTGTGACATTCAATAGACTAAAAAAAATTAAAGTTTTTAGTGTTTTCTTGCGTAACTGCTGTATACGCCCGTAATACTGTATAAAAAAATTATATGAGAAAACACTTTAAGTTTCTCTATGAATGTGGCGATGGTGTATCAAAATAAATAAATAAATAACTAAACTGCGCTGTATTATGGTGTCATCATATGACATCCTTGAATGTGGCCTCTTTCTAAAACATCAGAATTTATATGAATTAAATCACATGTAAGGCATTGCTTTCGGTCTGTGATCATTTAGGTACATATTGCCGAGTCGGTTAGCAATTTCTTTATAGTCGGGTTTTTGGTGCGCCATTGGTGTTATACACAGAAATAAATAAGTTGCTGAATTAGAAAACTGTTAAGAAAGGCAATAAAAAGTGTAAGCAGCTCTCTATGCTTACAAAAACAGTTACTTCTCTAAATTTATATCCGAACTCGGTCGGATTCGTGTGAACAATCGATACTATAGAATAAACGGATATATACTTGTTTTATTAGTAAAATGTGGCACGAGAGGCAAGCTGTCGTGTTAAGCTTCATCTTGATATAATTGATGTATGGTGATCATAAAACTCTAATGCTGTTTAGCTATAAAATCGTAACGACCGTTTTCAAACGTTTATTAATCTTTGATAAGTCCTAGATTCCTGCCTATGAAGCCGCGCGCAGTCTGATTAATAGTTTCTAAAACATGTTACTATTCGTTATGTTTTTTTTTGTTCGTCAAGTGCGGGTAGGGGAAGCTCTATTACAGGGTTATGTTAATGGCGGTTCCTATTCTAAGCTGCAGACGTTTCCTCACACGGCGTTTCTATCGGTGTCGTGTCAGAGGGATCAACTGGATGTAATCCAAAAAGAATGGTTTTGCGGTGCATCCGTCATTCATAAGTTGGCTTTGCTAACTGCCGCGCACTGCTTAAATGGGTAAAGTAACCTCTTATCTATTTTAATCTTTTAAATTAATATTAAATAGACAGATAGATAGATAAACAATTTACTGCTTACACACGAGAAGAAGAATAGTATATAAGCAACTTAAAACTAATGTGGGCAAAGGCGGTCTTATCGCTAAGAGCGATCTCTTCCAGACAACCTTAGAGTTAGAGGAAAGCTAATCGGAGCGAAAGACGTAGTGCGCCAATTTTACAAATTTTATTATTGTTATATATAATATACCCATGGTTTTGCTTTCGCCTTCGTTATTCTTACACCGTAAAATTGTACTAGATTAGAATAACAGGTAGGCAAAATTAAGGCGGCGTAAATTTGTAGCAGCGTCCAACAAATTATGTTGTTAAATATCATCATCAGAGTATACCATCAACTCATTTATATATCCCACACGGCACTCATCTCAGACGAGGATTTAGGCCTTAGTCCGCCACGCTGGCTCATTGCGGGTTGGAGACTTCACAATTTTTTCGTGAGTTGTGAACCTTCTTCGACGTGCTGGTGCCATAACGGTAAATTTAATTTCGCACATAAATTCCGAAAAACTGAAAAGTGTGAGCCCGGATTCATACCCACAGTCTCCGCTTGAGATGCGGCAGGTCAAACTAACTAAAATTATATCATATTTTATGTTACCACTCATTTACATACGATCGTTGATATCCACAAATCATTGATAACTGTGTAGTAACACTAATCACTTTTAGAGTTCACTTGTTGCTTAGTAATATTATTACTAATGTCAATTTTCACAAATTAACACGAAGCACTCCGTCTGACGGAAAAAAGTGTGTGTCGTGACACATCGAAAACGTGGAGTAGATCAACTCATTCATCCAGTCGAGAAATATTTTGCAATAATTTTTAAAATCTTGCATGTGTTGTGGTACTTGGTGTTTGTTTCGACTAAAATGGCAATTTGGTTTTTTATCCAACATGTACCAATGTGTTTAAGTTGCCTCGGTTACATGCTGGAAATGAAACTAAAAATAACAGCACGCCACGCTTTTTCGCCTTTATTCGTCGAGTGGATCCTATTGGAGTTTTTATTGATTGTTATCATTAGAGGTCCTTGTGAAAGAATTCGTCCAAGGTAGTACTGCCACCTTGCCTATTTCTGCCGCCAAGCAATAATGTAAGCATTACTCCGTAAAGGTGAAATTTTAGACACAAGGACTTGTCTACTTATGTCTCAGGGTGACGGGCGCAGAGGCAGTGCCCTTCAGATCTTTGTGATTTAAAGCACTGACTGGTACTGCAACTGTTATGGACAGACGTGTCACTTACCACCAGGTGAGCGACTTGTTTGTCCCGTCACTTAGAATCATAAATAAAAATATTATAACAATGATGTTATAATATTATGTCAAAGGTCAGTCGATATATTTTAACATCGATTCTCGATCACAACGTACGTGTCTAATCATTGGTTCATTTATAAGAAAACTCTTGAGGACTTACAGCTTAATAACACGCCCAACAAGATATTGGATAATAATGATGATTATATATTAATAATAATTACAATAATACAACCTCTACAATAACGTAAATTAACAAAATTTGCAATAGCGGCTGTTATTTGCGACCAACTATCCGTGAACACATCTGCAACCCGGTTGAATGCAAGGAACTCATTCAATAACAAACCGCTCTTAATGAAGTTTGACATGTGTCTATATCAAACTAATTTTAATGGAGTGTTATCACCATTGATCCTCTGAAACCACCTATGCTGCGCCCTTGACGTATGGTGTAACGGCCTGGTATGCGCAGCTCGACGTCGGGTCGTAGCGCCTAATTTGTACCTACTAATTAGAAAAGAAATGAGGAAAAACTCGACCAGACGACCTCTGTGATCTAGTCGCTTGCACACCGGTTTTCACTGTGTCACTATAGAAAACTAACTTTTCTATATTATCTCGGCTCTGGATGTTTGTAGTAGCGCCGTTGTTTCCGATTTCCATAACACAAGTGCTTTAGCTTACTTTGGGATCAGGACAACGTGTGTGATGTTTTCTAATGTTTGTTTATTTAGTTTGTCATTATTATTTTTAAAAAAGTTCGAATAAACAGGAAGAAAAGTGCCTTCGTTGCGACTTGGCACCAATAATAAAAAGGTAGTTTTAACGTGCCATGCAATACAAGAAACGAAAGATGCAAGTTAAATGGAAGACAAACATGTCAAATATGTTGTGCATTGCCCTCGTGACATTCTACCTTAGCCCCTAAAGGTAAAGAACCCACACAAAATTTATAGTTAAAGCTACTTACATATACGTGTCAGAAATAAGCTAATAATTAAAAGACAAAATGTAAGTAATTGAAAATTAAACTACATACTTGGGATCTGAATCGCGTATGCCTGTTATTTCAAACAAACCAGGGTTTGAGGCCCTTTAATAATAATAATAATAACGCACACACTCAACATAGCCCCGCACTAGGGAAACCCTGTGTCACGGGTGCCATGGACACACACAGAGACAACCACAAATTACACCCAAACTCACGAGAGAAATAAATGTAGGCCATACAAATATTTCTCCCGGCCCGGGAATCGAACCTGGGGCCTCTGCGTGGCATAGTAACCGTTCGGCCACTGAGGCAGTTAATAGGTCTATTAGGCCTTATTCTAATAGGCCTTTATAGGTCCCGTGATCACCCTAACTGTGATGACATGAATGTTAAAAATTTTCTCGTTCGTGGATTCTTACACGTTTCAAAATGAACTAAAAACAAACAATTTTTTGTAACATTTGTAATGCAATTAATCATTTTGGCGTGAAAGTAAATCTATTTAAAATCAATTCAATCATGATCGTGTCTATACCCACAATCCACAAAGCGATCATTATTTTAATTTAAAAAATCTGCCCTATTGTGTATGGTGTAACGAACTGTTGACAAGGCGCCTATTCTACGTGTGGTGTGTGCCCTACTCGTGCCACTCAAGCTCCTCCAAAAATCTCAGTACCCTCCTGGATTTGCTGAAGGCTCGGGGAGCGATCTCGGCACTCCGAGGTACTTCGCGCTGTAGTTGGCCACGACGTTTCCTTCCCCTCCATGCAAGCTTGACTGATTGAAATTGAATGCTTTTTTTGGTACGCAACAAAATATTCGAGCAAAATATACGTTATAATAACTTGTCTACGAAGGAAGCAACTTAATGTACAAGTGATATGGGCGTCAGCGTGCACATGATGACAATAAAAATAAGCAGTTTCGGTTTTTTAAATCACATTCAATGACGCCATTGACAATTTAGCTACTTATATAAAATATAAACAATTACACGTGGTTGAATTAATCTACAAAATGAAATAACAAACGCACCCTTAAATATTGTTTAAATATAAACTCGTTAAAACATCTTCAATACATTTGCTTCTCAAACAAAGGATATACTCGTACTACAAAGAATCCAGCTAATATCTCTATAAAGCCCCAAAAATACGCTATGAATGAATAAATAAAAAATGATAACTCATAAATTAAATAATTACGCAACTGCCGCGATTGAACGACGAAGCGAACGTGTAATGTATAGTCCATCTGTGAATTCAAATGACATTAACCGCCGATACGAAAAGGCTGAACCAAATTTATTTGCGTTTAAGAACAGCGATCGATAATTATTATAGATACCGTTTTTTGAACAAATTCATGCTGTACTTGAAACAAACAAAAAAACTATTGTTCGTAAAAGTTCAATTGGTGCTTGGTTTACAATAACGTTGAGCCTACACATTCAATGAAGTTTGACAAACCCCAGGTCCTTGCAAAAGAAGTCCGTTATCTGCCCAGGAAGCTGCGAGAGGCCATTGAAATTAAAAAACATCCTAATTTCAACAGGGAAGATGGTTTCTCCGTACCACCAATTTGGGATCCAGTATTTCCTCTAATGAAAAATCCCAAACAGACATAGACTGCAGTACTAATTAATATGTTTTAGTTTATTCTAATTTCTATTAATAATTAATAATAAATTAAACTTAATAAAAATTCATTCAATAAAATAATTTGTAAAACTTAATGTAGCGTAAATTGGAATGTTTTCTTTGTAAAATTAAAAATAAGGTATTTAATTAATAACTATTGTAACTATAGTGAAAAATAGGGTGGTTTGCATTAATATTAGATATAACTGGTTGAAGACTGTACCACCTCAGTCAACCGTGACCATGGGACCTGTAAAGGGCCCGAAACGTCGGTTTGTTTGAAAAAACAAATATACGCGATTTAAATCCGGAAAAATAGTTTAATTTCCTAAATAAAGTTGAGCTTAAATTTGCATAGGAAGTAAAAAAATTGTGGATTTACTTTCATACATCAGATAACCACTTAATATAACACTTTTGCTTAATGCATTAAAGTGTGCCAATTTTGATTTGTGGAGAGTGTGCATTTAGTGTATCAGTTTTCGTTGCCACTGTAATATAGTATTTTGTTAAAAAATAGGCATTTTGTTAAAGAAGAAAAAAATAAATTTGTAATTTAATTACCAATTCTTCTAATCACTACTTATTCTTACAAAATGAACTATGGTGACGTCGTGCATAAAATACAGCACTTCCTATTATCACATTGCTTTGTGCACCTATATCAAATTATATACATTGCCTAATGCACGTGCAAGTGTATAGAATACCTAAGCCAAGTGTATATTATAATTTATTTCTTACATCGCCTGACTGTTTTAGGCATTGTATAGAATACCGAATTACACACATTGCCGATATCATAATATATTAAACGCTGATGACTTGCTAACGTAAGGAAACATCGTGAGAAATTCCCGCCCCCATTACACATTGAGCCATCACGCTATTGGCTATGTTCTAAACCTCCTCTTTAGTGAACCCGTGGAACCACAAAAGTTGAACAAAAATCAATGAATTACCTGTCCCACCAAAAGGCCTTTTGAAAGTTTTCCGACTGAATATCGAATTAATAATAACACGATATTTACGCGTTCATGACCAGTACTAAATTCTTCTTCTCTTATTTCATCTCTCTTTCTTACAACAAATATAAAATAACTTAAAACATTGAAATCCAAAATGGTCTCCTGTCAGTAGACTTGTGCCTGATCGGTCCTTAGAGGGAGCGATCTTAGTTAGTTCAATCGGTCAACTGAACTAGGTCGGCCTTCTAGTTCATTTGGTTCATCTAGTTCCTTAGTTAGTCAGTTCGTCTTGTCCTTGTTCGGACATTGAACGAACGCTCCAAACCAGTAATTTTATTCACTTGAACTACTACGGGCTTCTAGTATTATGAGGTCAATACTACACTGTACTAAATATTTAAAAATACAATATTTCGTATGGAATCGGTACTATTTGATTTTCTTTCATATTTTACAGATTTAAAGACTGTCATTCTAACAAATATCTTTTTTTTTTACAAAATACGAATTTTAGTTCGAATGGTGTGTTTAAAAATCAATATTTAGGTACAATATCTATGGGTACAACTATTTCATATACTCGTACACGTAGGTTGATATTATACATACAGATATCTACCACACTTAGCAAAAAATATTACTTTTTTACAGCATGTATGTATACATAATACGTGAGACTTGGAACGAGCTGGCAACGTTCAATCGCATCCCACTCGAACTTGTACTAAAAGTAGTGAAAGATCGTTATTTGTTCCGCTCGCACCGTTCCTACTGAATAAAAGACTGGTGAACTGTCAACGCAGACAGTGCCTAGTTCGTACTGAACTAAAAAGAACAATGAACTATTAAAACCGTCCAAGACGAACTAGTTCATGTCGGCCAGTGTCGGGAATATATTCCTTATAGTTTGTAGTTCATGAACTATACAAGACTACCTATCAGCATTTACCGGGTTGTGATGACTTGAATTTTACTAGTGCTTCACTGTTACCAATACACTGATGGCCGCAAGAAAAAGGGAAGAACGGCAATATTGATGCATCAACTGCATTATAAATAATATGCTCGCACGTGGTGCCTATATCACAGGGTGAGCCATGCTCTTAAAACCGAAAAATTACACCGCGGAGCGCGCGATTTGCACCCACGCAAAAAACAATAATGTGAAAAACTGTTATGATTTTCCAGATGCTTCTCAAGCAAAATAGTAGCCGCAGTGAGCAACGCTCTGGACCGCAGGTTCACGTACCCTGCGAAAGACGCGCACGTCCACTCTGCTTACAACGTGGTGACGTTCGAGAATGATATCGCCATTGTCGAACTGGGACACGGCGTAACTTTCAACGAATTCATCAAACCTGCCATTTTGAAACGTCAGCTCAGGTTCCGCGTTCTGGAAGCTTTTCTCCCCGGCTGGGGATATATTAACGTATGTTTTCAATAAATCTGTATTATTTATCTGTATTATATTATCTGTATTATGTCTTTGGATTGAAGTGCTGTACTCTCACTAGCCATTGACATTTCGCAGTCATTAATTTGATTGCAAGTAGGTAACCTATCACAAAGTCGAAAACTTTTTTATCCGAATTAACGTTTGTTCGAATTTTCATTACGCCGAAAACCAAATTATAACGAAACAGTTGTTCTTTTAGGATACGTTGAATGTTTATCGCAAAGACACGATTAGGTTAGGTTAAGTTAGGTTTAAAAGAAAAAACATTTTTCTCTCAAAATTACTTTCGAGGTTATGAAAATTCGAGCAAACTTTATTTCTGGAAAATGACATTTCGGACTACTGATAGGTGACCAGATAATAATGATAGAAAATTTGTATTTGCTATAACTCACGTTTAAATAACATTGGAGTGTCTTATTGCGATTTTGGAATTCAGACCTATATCTAAATGACTTACGGTTTTAGGACGTTTTCTTCAACACTTGGATACGTGACCAAAATACTGCCACCATACCCATTTCAGCCGCCGAGCAGTAATGTGAGCATTACCGCATTTCGATTTAACTACAGGCACACAGGAATGGTCAACATTATATCTCAGAGCGACGGGCGCAATGGCATGCCTCTCAGATTTTTGCAATTAAAGCTCTGAGTGGCACTGCAACTATGTAGTTTCTATCACCAGGCGCATGACTCGCTCGTCCCGTCACATAATTATAACAAATATAGCACACCCCTCTCCCCGCCCCGATACCAATACAAATCCAAAATCCAAAATTTCGTTCAACATTTGCAATCCTTTTAATGTTTTGACACATTTTGTTGAGTTCAGTTTAACATTATCCAGCTGTCAGAGCGACGTGAGGGCACGGCATTGAAACAGACGAGGCAGGAGGTGTTCAGCCGGACCTTGTGCACTGAGTTGCTGGGCAATCTGCCTGCGGCTGACTTCTGCGCTGGCAACGACCACATCAGTCACCACACCGCCACGTTCGTATATATTATGATCTTCTTTAGCTGCAGCCTTTCCTTTTCGTTATCGTTCCCGGTGCTGGTCATTTGTGCGACCGAAATGACTTGGTGCAGCCTAGAGTAAACATATAATAATTTCGATAACTGTAAAACCACACTTTCATAAGAAGATTATTTTCTGTTTTGGTCTATACGACACAAACACAAACACGCAGAAGTATAGTATAACAGCTGAACAGCGATTTGATGCTTTGTACTAGAATCCAGAAGAGTATGGTGAATGCGAGTCGGAAATGTAAAATGTCTTCGAAAACAGTATAACCTTTTTCCGTCACGCAGGTTTACTCACGAAGTTATCTCCTACCATAACTAATTTCACCATAGCCATTCCTCAATTCGTATTCAGTACTTATCAATTAACTTCAAATTTAACAATTTAAACCGGTCGCAATAGTTATATTCTTAAAGTAAGCAAAATAGGGAGGTAAAGCATTTTTAAAGATTTTATATAGGAATTAAGCGTTACTTTTTATGCTCACACTTCTGTCTAACAGAGAGTCCGGAAGTTCGCTGGTGGCGTATTCGGAAGAGGGTGACATCAACATCGGTATCATCACCTACCACATGCCGAACATCACGAGAACTGTCCACGTGTTCACTTTTTTGCCAATGTATTACCAATGGATTACCGATAAAATTAACAACATTCAGAACGGAATTGCGCCAGAGTCGACGCATGGAATACCTTCAGCAGTAATTACAACGCATTAAACACATTTGTACCTTGCTAACCCTAGTTCAGTCTTATTTTTTGCTCAGCTCACGCAAATATAGGTAATCATACAATAAGCCCGTTGTTAAAACAGGTATTTTGCTCAATTGTTTATATTGTATTGTAACTAGTACCTGCCGCGCTAACGACGTAGCATCTGAGCACTATAGAGTGCTCTGCCTAGCTTCTCAAGTCTACAAGATGACAGAATAATTAATCGTTCGACACATTCGACGTCCTTGCCGAGATAACAAAATTTACTTTAGCTACTGCTTTTGTCACAGAATGTCTGATGCTGAGCGATATAACGATCCGAGTTTAAATAATTGTATCTCGATATTGCGTATTTTGGGCTTTTATTCATATGATGACATCCGCTACACGGACCACAAATATCTGTACTGAATTGATGGTGGCACTGCCATTGTTCCTATATCGATCACCTTGAGAGAGTTTTTGTCGATATTTTCAGTCAATAAGTAGTTTTCGGCAAATCCAGTCAATTAAGTTACATACATTTTTATAGTTCAGCATCCACTAGATGGCACCACTAGTACTGTATATACCAGTACTATTTATTTCACTGCCTCCCTAGACGAGTGGCTTGCACACCTGTTTTCATGATATCACCACACTCTGTGGTCGCGGGTTCGATCCTCGGCAAGGTCTATGTAGAAAAACTAACTTTTCTATATTGTCACGGGTCTGGTGTTGGGGGTACCGTCGTAGTTTCCGATTTCCATAACACAAATGCTTTAGTTATTTACTTTGCGATCTGGGCAAGGTATGTGACGTTGTTTAATATTATTTATTACAATTTTTATAACACGGTATACTTTTGTTAATTCCATTTTTAGTGGGAGACAGTTGACAGCCGAGATCCATCCTCTGAAGTGTGTTACTTAGCTCATAGTCTGGTGGCGCAGATGACTGCGCCATGAGGCCATCAGCGGTCGATTGCCAAATATCATTCAGGGCACGGAGGGTATTGAAATGTTTCTGTGTTATATCTGTTATTTCCCCCGTTCAGCCCTTTCTGTTCTATGAAAATATAGTTAAGATAAGGAAATTCTTAACAGTTATAACTTTTCAAGTGCAATCAAGTCGTTACCAATTACCATACCAACATGAACATTTGCAAAGAATGCGTCACTAATTTTCGTTGCAGTTAAAGATTTTTTAATACAAAATATCAGATGAATGAAGATAATGATTCTTGTATCGGACATTAAAAATTACAACGACACATACATAAAAATGAAGTAGAAAAAAGTAAGAAATACCATACAAATTACAAAGATGCTGTTACATTATACAGATGCTATTTGACATGATGAAGCCATCACGTTCCGTGATGTGACGCAGAGTAACCATTGAATGTCCTTAAAAACCTCGCCGATTTCTTTAATTAGCTAATTAAAACGGCGTTAAACTCAAATGAACCAAGAAACGGAAATAATAACCAGTCGACTATGAGAAATGGCATTGAGTACATCAAAATGTATTACAATGACAATTTTGTTGTTTATATTGAGGAGTGCAATGTCGAAAATGGAGGGGATGATTGTAGGTGGAAAGTACGCAAAGATAGAAGACTTCCCCCATGCCGCTTTTCTGGCCATAAATTGCGTAACGGGCACTCAATCCGACAATTACTCGTGTGGTTCGTCAATATTGAACCAGGTGACATTGCTGACAGCTGCGCACTGCTTCGAGGACTGTCTTGCGAAAAGCAACATCGCCGTCGGAGTGGCCGTCGAGAGGAAACGCAGCAGTCTGACGCATCTAGTGGCCGTCTTCACGATACACCCGAAGTTCAACGCCAAGAGAGTGATCAATGACGTGGCACTCGCTAAGCTCTCCTACAAACTCGAGTTCAGCCCTAAAGTGAAGAGAGTAGTTTTGGTGAAGGATCCTCCTTACACCGAAGAGGCTGTAGTGGCTGGGTGGGGTATTGTGGACGTAAGTTCAATTAGGTAATACAGATAATATACCCTAGAAACCTAAATACTGATATTTAAATGTCGATTGACTATCAATGTTCTTCAAGTTAACTATAGCTTCAAGAATTTACTAATTAACATTAGAATATAAACAAGTTTGAAAAGTCAGACAATGTCCAAAATTAAATGCTTTTATTATGCTTTTGTATCTTTAGGAAGGTAAGAGACTGGGCACAATGTATTTGAAATCAGCGAAGCAAAAGATATGGAAGAGGAAGGATTGCGTCGCGGTCTTGACCAAACTTAATAAAGGCACCATTTGCGCCCGAGGCATTAAGAAGGCAGACCACTACGGCTATCCTGCTGCGTAAGTCAATAAACTTTTAATATAAGTCATTTTCAACACGCTGTTTGCATTCCTAACCACAAAAGCTGGAAAGGATATTAAAGAACAATTTGGAGTAATAGCTATATGTAACATAGCAAAGAACTGTATCAGAACTGCACACTTTAGGAAATTAAGCTATTTTTTGGATCTAAATCGCGCATATTTATTTTGTCAAAGAAACCAACGTTTTGGGCCCTTTACAGGTCCCTCTGTGTAACGATCACGAAAACCCAAGAACGCGCTATGTTCAATTCTTTTTGAGGATAATCATTGAAACGTATACATTCGCGTACCGTGCGTACACGTAACGACTACTAAGACTTACTGTTACTGTAAATAAAAATGGAAGTAAATAATTACTTTGCTGCTCGGCGAACCTTGTGAAGAATAGTTGCGCTTGTGTTAAATATTTTTTTCATACAGTTAATATTCGCACCCTCCCTTCGCATAAAGAAAAACACATACGCAATTACAATCGGCCGAAGAAATTCATTCTTCGTCTGAGGATCGAACGTACAACTACTCTTGAAGTTGCCTCGTATATTTTTGGGAGAAGTATTTGTCGTTGCAGTATTACTTATTTTATACACTTTATGAAATGGGAGGAGTGAAAAAATTAACTGTATGAAAAAAATCTTATTATATGATGTTATGGAGCAGCAAAGATTTAAGTAATAAAAATTACTTTAATTTTTTAACTGGATTTCCGCAAAAGGAACGCCTGAGTCTATTAACTACATCTGTATTTTTATCATGTTGAATAGAGGCGATTCTGGAAGCGCGCTGATGCTGCGTGGCTACATCCAGGTCGGCTTGGTCTCCGTCAAGTACCCGCAACTCTCTAAAGCCGTTATCGTGTTCACCAACGTACCATATTTCTACAATTGGATTATGAAAACCTCCAAAAAGCTCTACTGCTTGAAAACATAGTAATACGACTTTAGCTTTAGGTACGTTAAAAGTGTTGATGCAAATGTGTTTTATAAAAGTTAATGATATTTTAAGTTAATTTTACTTTACTTTGAGTAAAAATTAAACTAACAGAGTACAGCCGGTTATTGTTTCAATGCACCAAAATAGACCTTGAAGCGACAATTAAAATTTTATTAAATCACGTAAAAATATCTAATGGCATCTCAAAAAACACTGATCCTTCAAATTAACTGTACCTTAAAAGTAAAAAAAGTCTTTTTAATTTCATCATAAATACAATACAACCAATGTATATTTAACTGTAGTATATATTGCTCTATTATCAACTGATATAGTTAGAAAGGAACCTCATCTACTTGGTATATTTTGTAGTGGTACAGGTATGTAATCACGTCGTAGGATTCAAGCTCCTTTTCGTCCCCACGGTGTTGCTAAAATTGTACAGAAAAAATATTCCATAGATATTTTAAACTACTCAGTCATTGCGCATATTGTCAGTTTTTACAAATATACGTTACCAAATCGATTAGCACAATTTTATGTTTCACTGCCTTATTGTGTAATGACGCCGTGGGCCTCCACTTAAGGAACAGAAAGGCCTATTAAAGCAACATCATAAAACTATAATAAGCCTCACAATGTACCTAATTAACTACATTTCTGAATAACCGATCACTATTAGGCGGAAATAGAAAATAAATCACAATGGCCGTTGCAAAATGTGTTAGCATTCTAGGTCTTCTCACGTTCGTGAAAGGGGATAAAATGGAGCCTTTTATAGTGGGGGGGTCCTACGCGAAAATCGAGGATTTCGCCCACGCAGCGTTTCTTGCTATTTCTTGTGACAGAGATACGGGCACGGAGCATTTCTCGTGTGGGGCGTCTGTGGTGAACCAGATTATAATTTTGACGGCCGCACACTGCCTGGAGGACTGCCTGGCAACAAGCAGCGTGCTGGTGGCGGTTGGAGTGGTTAATAAACGCGGTCCTTTCACACACGAAGTCAGCCACTTCGTAATCCACCCGCAGTACGATAGCGAGCTGGTGTCCAATGACATTGCCCTTGCGGCGCTCACGGAGCCCCTTAAGCTCAACCACAGGGTTAAGAGAGTGGTTATAATGGAGGACCCGCCATACCAAGAAATATCTAGTGTTGCCGGATGGGGTGTTGTTGATGTAATTTGTTTGAATATTTACATTCTTATAAGTCATAGCAACTACTTTTATTGACGTCACTAAGAACATATTCATAAATGTTTTTGAAATACTTATATCAACATGCAAAAATATTTGTGGGAAGAGTGATATATCTTAGTGGCATCACGTGTGACACTTAAACCACAAGGTAGAGGTTTCGATTCCCATAACAAGCATCTCGTAAAGAAGTGTTGTACGCAACAGTGGAATTGCAATTGAAGAATAACATAGTTTTGTGATACATTGACAGATGATTGATTGTTATACCAGGAAGAACAAGGCACCGCCGGCAAGTACCTGAAAGAAGCTAAGCAAATGTACGTGAACAGAAGAAAATGCTCGAAGATTCTAAAGATGCTGAACAAAGGTACATTTTGTGTGAGCGGAATTCATAAAATGAAGAACTACGGTTACGCTGCCTCGTGAGTAGAACAACCGATTTCGATATTATTAAGCCATCTTTACACAGCTTTAAGATCGATCGAGCGGTTAGGGATTTATTGTCCAAGACAATGATTTTTCTTGCATGGATAAAAGGAAATCTTTATGGGCGCCGCAGTTGTGAACTAGACGTTAAGCCCACCTTCACAGGGATGTGCACCCAATGACCTACGTATTAAAACTTGCTCCCCTGTTACGTTTTATGTTTTTGCTGTTGTAGCATCCATTAACCTGTTGCCTACTTCTATTCTGTTACTTTTTTAATTATAATAAATAAATAGAACAAAGCGCATTTACGAGTTGCCGTGGAAACCTTGCCATCGGGCACCTAGCACGACGATGAAAGTGATGTTATGTCACAATAATTGTATAATTGTTTTTCTTTATATAGTTGTCTACGAACAGAGGCACTAAGATTATAAATAGGCTATTATAGCCTACAGTGCCCAATGGATTGGAACTTGACGGAAGATATTAACAATTACGTATTTACCAAAGTCTCCAAAAGATAATAATGAAGCTCAAAGGCTTTCATTCCTACGAAATTCGTCGTGGAGGCAAAGATATCCGATTTACTTAGAAAAGCTGGTGCATCTCTTCGCTCGTCAATGTTTCGTATGCTTATTGAATAATTATACACACACAAAGCTATTTCGTTTGCAGAGGTGACTCCGGCAGTGCCATTGTTGTTCGAGGTTACATTCAGATCGGTCTAGTGTCGTACAAAATCCCTCAATATTCCACCAGCGTGATCGGTGCCACCGATGTTGGATATTACTACGAGTGGGTCATGATCAACGCCGAAGATCTTTTCTGCCAGTCAAAAGAAGAAAAATAAAATAAAAATTGTTTATTAATTCCGAATTCACGATCCTATATAGATGTACACAGCGTTGAATTAGCATTCGTTTAAGGCGGTCATTATTGTCGCCATTATTTAGGTGGACAATGAAAAATTTAAGCTGCACATTGCATTCCAAGTAAACCCTTTCATATGATATCATTACTTATTCTTTCATTCCTCATTTCACCTTTAGCGTCGATTTGAAAACAAAAAAGAAATATGAGGGAGCTTAAAGATGAATTTTCATGACTTCATATTACGTCGAATTACGTCTCTTCCATAGAATGATTTTTCAAAACTAATTAACCGCTTCTTTCTATCTTACACCGTTACAATCAAACTTAAATTTTTATATAACCACCGAAATCTAAATAATTTAAATAAATTCACAGATTTTGACCTTTTCACCGATAAATGTGGAAAATTCGCTTTTATTTGGTGTTACTACCATAAAAGGAACCTTGAGTAAACAAACCGAATGAATGTCAGAAGTTACTCTTTTACAAGTAGATTACAACGACGGCATTATCTAGGAATTCTACGAAAACACGAAACTCAGTCCGCGATTTGGAGTTTTATGGTTTCATTTTGTAAAATGGTTAAGAGCATGTGTTTCCGAAAATTTTACAATACACATTTTCGGGCACTTTGTAAATTGTATTTTGCAAATTATTCATTTACAAATCATTTATGTTGAACTTAAATGAGTATCCCGGGTATCATCATATTTCTGGTAACTTCCGTCAATCATGGTAAAAAAGTTGACGGTTAACTTCAAATTAACTTTGAATATCGTGAGCAACGACTTTATTTTCTCGGGAGTTTTCTTTTGAAAAGATTCTGCTAGACGTACGCCATAATACTTGCCATCGAGGTGAAAGAAGAAGGCTTTCTCCTTTTAATCGCAGCCCTTAAATATACGTATACACAATAGACATGTTCCAATTCATATTCATTAGGTAGTTTATGCGATTCTCCACGTTTCTCAACCCTTAAAAAGGCTTCTTTATTGTAATGCTTGACTCCATCGACTGTTAAAGCAATTTTTTTTAAAGCCACTAAATCTAACCGATTTATTATGTTGTCGTCCTAAACTTCATAACAATTATCAGTTTGCGTCTTCAACTTCAATTATAATTAATTTTATTTACAATACAAAAACGGCTTTTTATATAAAAATTGAAAAATAATAACTAATCTTGAAATTTAACATAAATGTGCTTTGTATTAATGTATGATAGCATATGTTACGTATTCAGCAAAATTAAATTAATTAATTAATTTTATTTATCACTCTTCCAATGTAAGTTAGGGACTTCACGTGTTTTCCAAACTTGGTGAAACTTCTTTGACATACAGAGATATGACATCACGAGATATTCATTCACCGACTGCAAGTAACCAAATTACCGCAACCAAGTGCTTAACAAGACTACTATTACATATTTTTATTCGTAGAAACAATTCAGTGTTCCACATTATGTGAGAACAAGCACATGTCCAATTTCTATCCACGTCTATGATGTAGGTACTGTATAGTCAAGCAAATGGGTTCCACGAGTTAAATCATCAATGTCTTGCTATTACAAAGAAGTGAAACTTGTAATCCATACTTCGATTACTTGTTTTAATACCCTAATTAGGAGTTATGGGTACTTAACTCCCACCTAATGCTTTTCCATCGTTCGTAATTATTATGGGAAATTATTCAAAATGTTTAGTAGTACGACGTGTTTTTTGTTTATTATTCTAAGTATTTTACCAAAATCAAGAACGAATGAGGCTGCCGAGCTTCTAAATGAATCGGACTACAATGGCAAAAAATTTGAAGGTTTTGTAGTCGGAGGGAGATTTGCTAAAATACAAGACTTCCCTCATTCGGCATTTTTAGCGATAAATTGCCGCAAACAAAAAATATTTGAGGATTTCACTTGCGGATCGTCGATCCTAAACCAGTGGATATTGCTGACTGCGGCACACTGTTTGGAAGGCTGTAAATCTGGCACCAAAGTACTGGCATCAGTGGGGGCCGCGAAAAAGACAAAAGGAACATTTTACGCGGTCGGAAAATTTGCTAGCCATAAAAAATACGACGGAGATATAATGAAAAACGACATCTGTTTGGTCATGCTGGCAACCCCTGTGGTGTTCGGTAATACAGTGAAAAGAATTCAGCTAACACAAATCGGGATCTACAACGAACCAGCGGTGCTGGCTGGCTGGGGTGTCACAAACGTAATTTATTTGTTATATTTAAACTAATTTAAAAGGTCACGAATTCAGTACTCTATTAGGAACTTAATCGTTTATGTTATGTGTGCCCACAGGAAGAAGAATTTATAGATTCCCAGTACTTGAAATCGGCGCGTCAGGTCGTGATGACGCGAGAAAAGTGTATGAATATGTTGCCAAATTTGAACAAAGGTTACTTATGTGCGACCGGAGATAAACGTAGTCTTCAAGATCATGGTTACGCCGCAGTGTGAGTTTAGTCCTCTCTACAACATATCTACACACGACCAAGTAATGTGTTACTAAACAAAAAAAAAAAATTTAAGCTGTTTATTTCGAAAAATTACAAAAGTTATTTGACATTACTAAAGCTAAAATTTTTATGTTCTAAAATTATGCAACTTAGTAACCTCCAACCACAGCGACATCTTAACATTATTACTTATTTCAAAATCTAATATATTTACTTACACAGTTCTTATATAATGTTACTCTCTAGCCAAATGTCGCCTAATGAATCTGGTATAGACCCTTTTATTTGTTGATTCTAATATTTGTACTAACTTCTTTATTACCCTATTTAACACATCTGGAAGTACAAATGACCATATACATTGTTATAATTCGGTACAAGTCGGTGACAATTTGATCAGTTGAATTCGATTCGACCGTTGAATTTATCAGTCTAAATTATTGCCAACAACAAACCGTAAATAAATTTAAAAAAACTCAAAACACTGATACTTGAATTAAAGTGAAATAAGTATCCATTTGCGTAAACTACTGCCAACTTGTATAAAAACAAATATATATTTTGCGTTTGCAGGGGTGATTCAGGCAGCGCTTTAATAGTCCGAGGCACCATTCAGATTGGCATAGTATCTTACAAGATGGCTGCGATCTCGGAAAGTCTCATCGCTTACACCGATGTATCAAAATATTACAGATGGGTTACTAATACTGCTAAAGCTCTTTTTTGCCAGGAATAATCTCCACTTAATTTATACGATAGTTGTGAACGTACGATAGTTCAACGTGTGGTAATGCACACCGTTTGTGCTTGTGAATAAACGACAAGTTAAAAATTAAATTGTATTTTGCTTTTCAATTTTCACTAAAATTGAAATTCCCTCACGTTTTTCGCATCTCAAATATATTACTGTTATTATCTATTTATAATTATAACAATCCCCCTCCATTCAGCAGTTGGCTGTCAACAGAATGACCCACACGATCCAGCAGTCATTTCTTTGGTGATCCATCCAAACACCTACATTCTCAATTCAACATTTCGTACCTGGATGACGGTACACATACATAAACCTCCTCATACATGTTCCGCTCGACCTTGAGCTCACGATACGATGCTCACAATACGAGCTATTACAGCAAACTGCAGATGAGAGCAGAAATTATGTGAAAATGTCGTGTCCAGACCTCAATATTAACGTTCTCTCAAAAAACTCTCTCCTCTGTGCCGGGCGCGTCCACCTCTACAATATTCACCGAAACATTCCACTATTTATCATACCGTTTAGTACCCTGTAGTTCCTCAAATTTATTAAGTATCTCGATGCTCAAACCTCTAGAAATTCGAGTCTCTTTCTCTTCGATCCATGATCTGATCCACTACACTCTAATGAAAATTCTAAATTGCCTCCTTCTTGTTTTTTCCACAGTAGTCTTTTGTGCATCCTAAGTATTTATTCGTCGGATCTTCCAGTAAGCAGCACTCAGCAACACCATCGTCCGGGCCTAAAACAATGTCAAAATATCAGTAACACCGAGCCTATGCCAATGTCAGCTATCTCGAGTCCATAGGCTTTAACTACATAAATGACAGAAAATGTTTTTTCTGATTTTTCCTATTCTTTCTTTTATGATTAAATATGCATAATATAGAAGAATAGATAGTTGGTACTTAACTTTTTTTTATTATGTAAATATACTTAGGCTATTAACAGACTACCTGCATGTTTGCAATTAATGTGTGAAGTCGTAATTAACTTCATCCATGCGAAACGTCGACTGCATAAGGTCAATTACGAATTCACGTATCAACTGCATGCAGTCGATCTCGGCTGCATGAAGTCGGTGTGCACTGCATGTAGTTTATGTGTGAAGTCATTATCAACTTCATGTAGTCGAGCTCTTGGATAACGGCTTCACGCATAACTGCATGCTGCAGCCGAAATCGACTGCATGCATTTATTGCGTAAAGTCGTTATCAACTTCAGGGTGTCAGTCACAGCTGCATGAAGTTGATTACGACATCATGCATTAACTGCAAAGGTGCAGGCAATCTGTTCGCAGTCGAACATTAGGTATTAATAAAATTATTAAATTTAAATATTAATAAAATAAAAGATAATATTTTTTTAAACTACAGTTTTAGTAATTTAAATTGTAACTTTATTCTATTAAAAATTTAGATGTAATTGGTGTTATTTTCTTCAATTCTATAAATTTTTGAAACTATACTGCGGTAATCTATTTTAATTCAGTTTCCTTCATCCTAGTCGTATAAGTCTTAAGGAGTTCTACCATTAATTTTCTTTATATCTTTTTCCAAGTATACAAAATTTGTTCCCGAAGTTGGTTCAGCTCAATAGTATCAATGCAGACAATATTTACTTAACAGAGAAAATCTGATATAATAAGTCCATTATTTCCTTTGAAATACTTACAACCGCTATCTTCAATTACTTGTTTCAATAGCGATTTATTACCGACGAAGAACATGTAACTCCAAATTATGGGCGAACTTTACTGTCCTAAAAATCCATAATTCTTAATCACCAATCAGCGAAGCACATCAAAATGTGCAATAGTAAGACCTATTTTTTGTTCTCGATACTAACTATCTTACGGAAATCTCGATCAAGTGTGACTACTACTATTCCAAATGAAACGCAGTCGGATGGATCGTTTCAGTATGAAACGGACAACGATGACAAAAAGTTTGAAGGTTATATTGTAGGAGGACAGAACGCTAGAATAAAAGATTTTCCCCATTCGGCATTTTTGGCGATAAAATGCCAGAAGGTAGACTACGTTCATTTCACTTGCGGGGCGTCGATCTTAAACCAAGTGATATTGTTGACTGCAGCACATTGTTTCGAGGATTGCGAAGCTGGCACCAAAGTGTTAGCATCAGTGGGCGACCGAAGAAAATCAAAAGGAACCATTTACATAATTGGACAGTTTGCCACACATGAAGAATACAGTGCACGTATAATGAAAAACGACATTGCCTTGGCTGTTCTGACGGAACCTTTGGTGTTCAGTAGTACAGTGAAGAGGGTCTTGTTGTCACGCTTTGAAATCTACAACAAACCTGCTCAGGTGGCTGGATGGGGTGTCACAAATGTAATCTTTTTTATTTTTTTTGCGTTACTGGGACGGTAACTAACTCAATAACTAAAAACTTTACTAAATCGCTTATGTTGTATGTGCCATCAGGATACATCACATACACAAACGCTATACTTAAAGTGGACACGCCAAGTAGTGCTGTCGCCAAGAAAATGTCTGATTTTAGTGCCGAAATTGAGCAATGGTTACATTTGCGCTTCGGGGGATGTGAAACATGATAAGGATTACGGTTACGCTGCAGTGTGAGTAAACCATGAGCTTTTTTTGGTCCATCTTCTACAACATGCCTCAATACATTATAAATTTCGTAACCGACATGTAACTTTAAAGATTTAAACTGTAGTAGCTTGAATATAAAACAACGATACACCCAAATGTTATGAAAAATCGAACACAAATTACCTATGCATACCAAAGTATTTTTTTAACGAAGAAGAACAAGTCATACGCATAGTTACACATAAAACATGGGTTAGTTACAGTGCAACTCAGAGTTTGACACCACAAAGATTTAAGGGGCACTCCACTGCGCCCACCCTTCAGCGTCACCCTTGGACATAAGTTGACAAGTGCCAATAGTTTCACCAGCACCATAATAACGCTCACATTACCACTTGACTTGTTGTTAATAGAGAGGACTAATTGCTACTTACTACATTACTTTGTAACAATAAACTAAGATTTTTTTTAACTCGACACAATTACGAAATACGAAGTGGACCTGATCGCGGCGTACTTTAAATATTATATTTTTATTATAAATTCATATTTTGCAGAGGCGACTCAGGCAGCGCTTTAGTCGTCAAAGGTTTTATCCAGATTGGCATAGTGTCCTATAAGATATCAAGGCTCTCCAATAGTCTCGTCCTCTACACCGATGTGACAAAATACATTCGCTGGATCACAAGCGCATCTAAACAACTTTACTGCCGTCAGTTTAAATTTACTTAAGTCATTTCATGATCATAAAACAGTCAAATGTCAGTTTGTGAACAACTCTTGTATTAAAAATATATCATAATTTTACGTCGTGTTTTTAATTCTGACCAATAATCAAAAATGTTTGCCTAAACCTCGTGTTTTTAAATACAAGTATTTCATACAAGTACATTTTTAAGTAAGCATGTCAACGTTTTGATATTGTCAGTTATAAATAAACCATTTTGTTCTTCGTCTGATCAAAATACAAAATGATTTGAAGTTTGTTCTGTGAACGCTGCTGTTCAAGTCAATATTTATGTAATTACATGCACGGAAACGAAAAATAGATCGGCAACATGTTTTTTATATACACATACAACAAAATTTTTCGTTCCCGCTTTGAAAGAGGTGTCAAAGACAACCGAGATACCTGTATTATCAATGGCTGCAAAATAGTTATGCAACCGATATCACGAACCCATTCAAGGGTTCGATTTGAAAATCAATTATTTCCAATCACTTTTAAATGCCTATAACTCTCACGACTCGAGAATCTTATTATACCTAGGTATTGCTTACATCGTTCCCAATTAATCTCCGATTGATATATTATAATAGGTCGATCTTTAGTAACGTAACGTGTCACCTATTCACGTTTACAATAATAAAATGTTATCAAAAAAGAACATTATTGGTATACTTTTCTCCAATTATGTTAATTTTAAGGCTATACTGCTGTAATATATTTTTAATGTAAGTACATTTTTGCGCTGTTCACTTCGTCTTCGTTATGTAAATCCTAGAGAGTTCTACTACGAATTTTCATCACAGCTTTTCCAAGCATACAATTTGATTCTGAAGTTGGTTCGGCGATTGTAACTGTTAGACACAATAGTTTCAATACAGAAAATATTAACAGAGAAAATCATATACTTAAACATTTTCTCCTTTAAAATAGCACGAGGTTAGTGGTAAAATTCGAGTACTTGTAACCAATCTCTTCAATTACCTGGTTTAATACCCGATAAAGTGGACATAACTCTAAATGACGAGCGAACGTTAATGTCATAAAATTTATAATTCTTAATTACTAAGCAGCGAAGTATATCGAAATGTTCATTAGTAAGATGTATTTTTTGTTCATGATACTAACTATTTTACTGAAATCTCGAACAAATATGACTACTACTCTTCAGAACGGATCGTTTTCGGAAGAATTGTTTTCGAATGAGTCAGCACGTCGAAATGAATCGTTTGAGTATGAAACGGACAGTGACGACACAAAGTTTCAAAGTTATATTGTAGGAGGGAAGTACGCTAGAATACAAGACTTTCCCCATTCGGCATTTTTGGTGATAAAATGCCACAAGGTAGAGTACGAGGAATTTACTTGCGGCTCGTCGATCTTGAACCAATTAATATTGCTGACTGCAGCACACTGTTTCGAGGATTGTCGAAGTGGGTCTAAAGTGTTAGTATCAGTCGGCAACCGGAGAAAGACAAAGGGAAACTTTTACACTGTCGGAAAGTTTGCCAGCCATGGAGAATACGACGGACATGTAATGAAAAACGACATTGCTGTGGCTATTCTTTCGAGGCCTTTGGTGTTCGGTAGTTCAGTGAAGAGGGTCTTATTATCACACATTGGAATCTACAAGGAACCAGCTTTGGTGGCAGGATGGGGTATCACAAACGTAATCATTTTTTTTATTTATTATTAAACAGTACAGGCACGGAAGCGAAGTCAGTTTTAAAAACTTTACTAATCGCTTATGTTGTATGTGCCACCAGGAGAAATTATATACACCTACGCTGTACTTGAAGTGGACGCGCCAGGTAGTGCTGTCGCGAAGAAGGTGTTTAAGATTAGTGCCGAATTTGAACAATGGTTACTTTTGCGCCACCGGGGATGTGAAACATGAGACGGACTACGGTTACGCTGCAGTGTGAGTAAACCATGAGCCCTTTTTCGTTCCGTCTTTCACAATATGCCTCTGTACATAAATATACTTTTGTGACCTCCTTATTACATGGTACGGTAAAACGGGCTGGTGTCTGCAACTGGACGTCCACGCCTATTTTGCGTGTGAAGGGTGCAGGATCCTACTGGTACCACCCAGGCTCCTCCAATATAGAATGGTGTTGAGTATGGGTAAACTTAATTGGATTTTTAAAACACTAAGATATGTAGTGCCAGGACCAGTCGCTGGTCCGCGAGTCACGTCGTCTAGGGATATATTGGAAATATACGTGAGTTTGGTTCAATCTGTATTGATTTATTGTATTCCTATATGGGGTGGAGCTGCTAAAACTCGTTTTCTCGAGTTGGAACGTGCGCAACGCAATTTGCTTAAAATAATGTATTTAAAAAAAAGGCGATTTGCCACTAGCAGTTTGTATCAACTATCAAATTTAGCCACTGTAAGGAAACTCTACATCACTGAAACTGTATACAGACAACATAGGTCTCTAAAATATGATCTAAATATTTCGAAGAGAAGAAAGAAAGACATTGTGGCACAAGTACCTAAAGTAAATACAACATTTGCAAACAGACAATTCAGCAAACGATCGGCCCATTTGTACAATTTAATTAATAAGGAATTAGAAATATACGCCAAAAGTTATAGAGACTGCAAAAAAGTTACATCAAAATGGCTACAGTCGAAATCGTATGAGGAAACCGAAGATCTATTAGAACAGTTGCTTTAAAAACACTACTTTCTCTAATCTATGGCAACAGGTTAACACACATACACACAGACACCCCCCCCACACATACATCCATACATACATACACTCACACACACACACACACACACACACACACACACACACACACACACACATACTTTTTCATGTACAAATGCACACACATACGTTTTAAGATTCAAATTAAATTTAAAATTAGAAGTTAAGAAAATTGATAATTGTTAAAAAAAAATTGTTTGTTTTGTTTTTGTCGATGTTTGGAAATGTAAAAATTAAACACTACATTAAGTACGAGTATAAGTTAAAAATGTTAAATATGTATTTATAGCTATGGAAGAGCGGTGCCTTCTGACACAGGCTTGATAAGCTTAATAGGAGGTACCATCCACTGTTAATGTAAAGTGAATTGTATTACTGAAATAAACATTTATTATCATTATTATTATTGTTATTATAGTTGCTGTAGACCATTGCTAGGGGAGGATAATATAGGTTCTGGTTCCACAACCTCTTGTGCTTGGTGGCTATCATGGATAAGCCCTGAGTTTGACGTATCTGCCGAGTGCTTGTGCTTGAAGTACTGACATATTATCAAGAGCATTTGAACCTACTTATAACCTTAAACTTTTTAAACTTTGGTACCTAGTATATAAACCAAAGATACATCAAAATGTCATGAACATACAAACATAATCATCTGCGCTGACCAAAGCATTTTTAATGATTTCCAAGTGACGGGACGAACGAGTCATACATCTGGTGGTAAGTACCACGCGTAGGCGTAATGCATAAGGGTAGCCAAAACAGGTGCAGTGCCACTCAAAGCTTTGTATCGCATAGGTGTTAGGAGTACTGCCACTGCGCCCGTCAACTTAAGTTGATAAGTGCCTGTAGTTTCACCAGCACGTTTATCCTTCAAAACCATAACGCAGTATTGCTTGCATGTATGTATTGCAGAAATAGCTATTGTGGCATAAATATGTAAGAAGTACAATAATACAAAGTGTTGATTTGGTGTTCGTAGACGCAAAGCTGTTAAAAGAAAGTACTAATCGCTACTACTTTGCTTGATAATGTAAAACTAAATTCGTTTTTTAAATTATCCTAACTATTGCGAAACACGAAGTGGACCTGGCGTACTATTAAAATTATATTTTCATTATAAATTCTTACTTTACAGAGGTGACTCAGGCAGCGCTTTAATAGTCCGACGGTCCATCCAGATTGGCATAGTGTCTTACAAGATACCAAAGACCTCCAAGAGTCTCATCATCTACACCAACGTGACTAAATACCACCACTGGATCACAAGCGCATCTAAACAACTTTACTGCCATCAGTTTAAATTTACTTAATTTATTTCATGACCATACATAATATTGGGGTTAAAGTATGAAATTGCCGTTTCATTGCAATAGGTTCTTTGAATTTTCATAGAATCTTCATGGTTTGAGGTTTTCGAATGAAACTTTTTTCAAATGGTTTCTGTGATTTTTTTTTTTTTTTAAATTTGAAACATTTGAATATCGACTTTCAATTGTTTTTGTTATTCAATTTAGACAAGAAAGATGGATACTGCGAAAATTCGAGTGAGTTTTGAATCCGAGTTCCGACGCGGAACTAACGCGGCAGAAACAGCCCGCAATATCAATGCTGCGTTTGGAGAGGGGTCTACTAATGAACGCACCATGCGATTTTGGTTTAAACGCTTTCGTGATGGAAATTTCGACTTAAAGAACGAGCCACGAGGAAGACCGCCCACACAGGTGAATAACGATGAATTAAGAGAGATAGTGGAAGCCGATCCTAGTCAAACTACCCAGGAATTAGCGGCATGGTTTAACGTTACCTTACCCACAATATTGACTCACTTGCGTCAAATCAATAAAATAAAAAAATACGAAAAATGGGTGCCTCATGATTTGACTGATCTGCAGAAAGAAACGCGTGTTGAAACTGTGCGTAGTACAGAAATGAAGGAATATTGGATCGAATTGTAACATGTGATGAAAAGTGGATTCTTTATGATAACCGGAAAAGAAAAATGCAATGGCTGACCCCAGGTCAAATGCCACAACAGTGTCCTAAAGCAAAACTTACCAATAAAAAGGTAATGGTAACTGTTTGGTGGTCTCAGCATGGTGTTATTCACTATAGTTTTCTCCGATCTGGTCAAGCAATAACGGCAGATGTCTATTGTGCCGAACTCCGAACCATGTTGACAAAACTAGCAGTAAAACAGCCCCGACTCATGAATCGATCTTCACCATTATTGCTCCACGACAACGCGAGACCTCAAACAGCACGAGAAACCATTTTGACCCTTCAGGAACTGCAGTTAGAAACCATTCGTCATCCTCCGTATTCACCAGACCTTGCTCCAACGGACTACCATTTTTTTCGTGATTTGGACAATTATCTACGTGACAAGAAGTTTTCTTCCCAGGAGGCAGTACAAAATGCTTTCACACAGTTTGTGCAGTCTAGATCGTCGGAGTTCTATCGCAAAGGCATTAATAACCTTCCCATTAGATGGCAGCAATGTATAGATAATAATGGCAACTATTTTGATTAAATAAATTTGTTAAAAATTTAAAAAATAAACAATTTAGATTTTCAGTACAAATCGGCAATTTCATACTTTAACCCCTATTATCATCATAACAGTCAAATGTCAGGCAAGTAGGCAAGGTTTGCACTTGTTTGTGAACAACTCCTGTGTTAAAAATATATCATAATTTGTGTGTTGCGTTTTTAATTCTAGCCAATAATGATAAATGTTTGTTGTATGTGATTACAGCCACAGAAACTAAAGATAGATTAGCAATGTTCTTTTATTATAACAGAATTATTCGTTTTTAAACCTTGAAAGATGTGTCAATGACACCCGACATACCTGTACTATCACTAGCTGCAAAATAGTTATGCAATCTATATCACGAACCACTTCAAGGGTTCGATTTGAAAATCAATTATTTCCAATTACTTGCAAATGCCTGTAACTTACTCTTCGAAAATCTCATTACCTAGGTATTGCGTACGTCGTTCCCAATTAATCTCCAATTGATAATATATTCATAATGGAACGAAATGTTTAACAGTGTGACGTGTCCTTTTAAGGATTACAATATTAAAATTAATAAAAATAAAATACAATAGTAAAGGCAAGTTTGAAACGTACCTAGCTGGTAGCAGGGCATTAGCAATAGTGGGCGACGCCACCTTTTTCATCAAGTGCATCACTACAATTGATGAAAGTGGCATTGGTTAATCCATTACCCAAGGTAGATAGCCCATGTGACCTGAAGGACATTAGGCCTATTAGTATCCTCCCATTTCTCTCTAAGGTGTTGGAAAAAGTAGTGCATATTCAACTGAGTGTCTACGTCAAATCTAATAATATCCTTTCCATCTGCCAATCTGGCTTCCGGAGCGGGCGTGGCACTGTTGGGCGCTACTAGATGTCACTGATAGACGGATAGTGTAATTGCCGAACAGGACGCTGGTCATGCGACTTTTCTTGTTCTGTTGGATTTCTCTCGCCCGTTCGATTCAATAAATATCTCATTCCTTGTCTTGAAGATACTTGACTGTGGTTTAAGCACTCTACCAGTAAATTGATTTGGCAGATATTTGAATGGAAAAATACAGCGCGTCATACTTTCAAAGGCAAATGGTACGATATTATTATCACAGCCTGGGACTTTTTGGTTCTTTTGGTACTTAGTGCAACGGGCTGGTGTTCGCAACTTGACGACAAGGTGCCTATTTTGCATGTGCCCCCACATCATAAGGTCAACGTTGTTCACCTTCAAAAATTCATTTGCCTGTCTTGCCGTGTAAGAACTGACATTATCGTGGTGCATGATGATACGGCGTTTACGGTTATTTTTACGGAGTTTGTCAATAATTTCCGGCAGACAAATGGTCGTGTGCCAATCACTATTCATGGTACAACGATTCTCCAAAGCAACAGTAGCCACATGTCCCGTTTTATTAAAAGAAGGAGCAATCATCCGCTTAGAGGCACTTTGCACGCGCGCTACTTTGGTTGGTTTCGGCTCATCTCAAAAGACCCATACGCTCGATTGCTGCTTTGTTTTGGCATCGTAACTATAAATCCATATTTCGTCACCTCTTACTATATTCCACACCAAATATGACGCCCCTACGTTGAATCTGGTAAGCATGGCATTGCACCAAGTGACGTGATCCATTTTTTGAGTCTCAGTCAAATTGTGTGGGATCCATCGAGAGCACAGCTTTTTCACACCCAAATGTTTGTGTAGTATTCATTGTATTTGACCCACGCCTATGCCTAAAGATACCCAAATCTCATGTTATATCACATTCCTGTCTGTTTTGATCATACGGCGCACAGCATGCACGGGCGACCATCACGAAATTCGTTACTGAAATTCACACGACTGCGTTTGAATTTTTCATACCAGCTATAAAAGCTAAAATGACGCCACAATGTAAAAACAAGTGACAGTCAGATGAAACAAACTGTAAGCCAAAGAGTTCCATTTTGCTCTGGAACTCATAGGGCGCCCTATGTATACATACCTCCATGAGTGCTTGATGGCATTCATAAATGAGCCCTGAGTTTATGTCATAGCCGTTCAATGCTTAAAGTACTGACATGCTGCCGCAGAGTATTTGAATGGAGTGATTCTTTACTCTTCTCGCTATGATTGCTTTTGCCGCCAACTTGATACAGCCTAGAATACTGAATTTTGGTCACCAAGCGGTTTTGATATCCTGAAATTGAGGTCTCCTGAGAGTACCCCAGTACCTGTTCTCGAATTTAATTTTTATCCATCAATGTAAACGCGGACCTCTCTGGAGTTCCTTCCTTTGATTCTGGGATTTTCAAACAATATATCTTGTATTTTTTGTGAAAAATTTATTGTTTTGGGATCCTATCCACAGCCGTCTCCAATAGCGGTTCCTCTTTAATAGTTTTGTAAAGATTTCTTGGCGTCCTCATGTGCTTTAAAAAGCCTGCTTTATTTAGACGCACTGCTGTTGACGTCACTTCCTGTCTGATGAACAATGGGAGGGGTCGCAGATCCAGCATCGCTTCGAGGGCCGCAGTTGCAGTTGTCGTCGTGCAGCCAGTTGTCGCCATGAACGCTAGTCTTTGGAATTTGTCCAGTTTGTCGGTTGCGGTCGTCAGATTGGTTCGTGGCCACTTTACTATCGCGCCGTAACTGATCATGGGTCTTATCACCGCTGTGTAGAGCCACAGTGTTATATTGGGTGAAACTCCCCATTGTTTACCTACCATTCTATGGCAGTGCTAGAAGTTGATAGTAGCTTTTTAATTTTGTTGTTCAGGTGCTTGGTCCAGTTCAACTTGTTGTCCAGTATTACACCCAGGTACTTGACTTCGGTTGACAACTATATTTCTGTACTGAAGAGTTTGGGTAGTAAGTAGCCTGGGCCTTTAACACGCAGAGTACCTCAGGGCTCCATAATTGGACCGCTTCTATTCATTATTTACACGACTGACCTGACACGTTCAGTCTCTTGCCGTAAACGTCATTGCTATGCAGATGATGTGCAGCTCTATACTCATGTAGATCGTAGTTATGTACATCCTGTTTGGATGGCTTGACTCACGACCTGCAGACTATTTACCAATGACCTTGTGATAATGCTCTAATCCTCAATCCATTTAAATCTAAGTATATGGTGTTGGGTACAGATTCTCAAAGGAATAAAGTTGTTAGCGCAAATTCGGATATAGTAATCTCAGGCCAGGTTATTAACCGCGTAGATGAAGCTAAGAACTCTTGGAATAACTATAAACAATTCTTTGCCCTTTGAAAGTCACATGCTAGGCCTTGTTCGTAGCTGTTTTATCGCCTTAATGTTTTATGCGGCATCCGCGATTTCCTTAGTGAGAATGCACGGATTGCTGAATGTGAGTCGCCTTTCGATCTCAACTAAATTATGGCAATATTGTTTATGGGCCTCGTCTGCTTGCAAAGACTCAGCGATTATTGCGACGTCTACAAAATACTGCAGATTTTGCTTCAAAGTACCTCTGCAAAGTACATATCAATCTTTTTAAGCAATACGTCAATGCTCAGCATGGACTCTCGAACAAAACTTCACCTTGCGTGTGTAATGTTTGACGTCATATAATTTAAAAGTCCTGAGTACCTGTCTATACAATAAGTTGGAATTAATAGATCTATTCTGGCAGGTTACGTACATCACACGGCAGCTTTTGATGGTGGCTTCCGCCATCAGGCTACAAGGTGCTGGAATAACATTCCTCCGCGAATAAGGTCTATGCATACTAAATCTACCCCTAGGAAGCACATTAACGCGGTTATTTTACTCAAGCAAAAACCTTATTT